TTTCGAAATAGACTTTACAATGAGGGCCATGCTAAGAGAAAAAAAAAATTGCAGCAGTATCACATCAAATTACAATGATTATACCGTTAAGATCAATAACAGACGAAATCGGGTTGACCAGAGACTCTAGGGTGTCGGTTACTTTTATCAAGAATTGTACTGGTGTAATGATGCATGGATTCAAAATAATGCAAATTTTTCAAATTTCCACAAGCAGTAAAAGCATGGTGTGAAAGAAATGTTTTGCAAAATAAAATTGTGTTTATATTTATGGAATAAGAAATATGTACAACAAGAAGAAGTTAATTTAATTACCAAATATCCTAAATGTCCTATCAAAACTCCAAAATATAGAATGTCTTCAATGTCTTGTTATAACATAATGATGTAGTCCAGACTGTTTCTGAATGAGTTTACCAAAATCCAAAATAATGTAATAATCCAAAATTCAATAATCACTTTGTATTACCAATTATTAATTTAATTAAACAATTCCTCTCCAATCATATGTGATTTCAGGAACACATATGTCAACTCTTATTACATAGTTTTACCCACAGATTGTTCTAGAACACGACTGAATTATCTGTTTATCAAATCCCTATTTATACACATTTAAATTTACCTATATCAGGATGTGAAGCGGTATAACGGATAAACCCAGTCTAATTGTAAATAAGACTGACCTTGAACTCAAATGCTATGTAAACATTCTGTTTTCATATTACAGTCCAGAACAATAGTTACTTATACAATACAGATCAAAAATACATAACAATACAATATATTGTAAAGCAATACAGCCAGCCGCAATCAATATTCTTACAAAAAATCATTCTATTACAAAGAAACTATTCTCTGTTCAAAATATTCTCACACAAAAAATATTCTATGTGAGACTTATTATGTTAGTAAAAACTGTCTCTGTACAATGCAAACAACAGCAGTAGATAGCATTTTTGCAATTGCATTGATCTCGTATAATAAATTACCAGAACCTCAACAATATTTGGTGGGGGATGGGGCACAACTGGTTCACTGATGTGATTTAAGGAAAATTCATGAAGTATAGAAGGCTTTTAGTCTATATAAGTAGATTCAGTCGAAACACACATTTTGATATTACTCCGCCCAACCCTATCCTTCCCAAGAAAAAATGGTAGATCCTAGTGGACATAAAATATAGCGTATATCGATTTGTGTGTGTGCGTGCGTGAGAGAGAGAGAGAGAGTGTGTGTGTGTGTGTGTGTGTGTGTGTGTGTGTGTGTGTGTGTGTGTGTGTGTGTGTGGAAAGGACTACTGTGTTATATTCTGTTTGCAGTGGTATTACAAGTATACCCTTTGTGCGAAAATCGGGTCTTCCAAGCCCACCAGTAAGTGTCAGACCTGTATACAAAATTAAAGCTGTTTTCAAACTTTGAGGAACATCAAAGGAGTTGTTTCCAAGATAGCGTACATGTGTCTCATTGTTAATTTAGTTCCTGCATTTTCGTCTATGGTGTGACATCCTTCCACATTTCGTCCCACGTTATGTGGCATGGTGTAAATGCTTTTAACATTCTTTTGATTAGATTAGCAATCGCTAAGTACTGCGTAATTAATAAGTTGGGAAGTTATATTGAATTACAGGTGCATTTCGATCTGAACTCAGGTCTGATCTCCATATTATTTGTGGGCACTCCATCGACCTTTAGCTATGGTAAACTATCAGCCTTGGGCGTGTCTCCCCCCCCCCCGTGGCTTTTCTGAAACATTTAAAGACTTTTATGTCTTCATGTATCCCCGTCCAATTTTGTGTCTTGTTTTTTTTTTCAGTAGAAACTGAAAATTATAGGATAACTCAGGCTATCCAGACCTCAGAGTACTTCCATATTTTTAATAACTAAGAGTTTTACATACACATGCCTACAGCTATTTCCTGGTAGTAGAGTTCGTTATTACTACCAGATGTTTGTATCGATCATTGGTGTGAACTTACACCGTACCTCATATGCTCTTTCCAGGGTGTACCTAGTTCATGTAAAGTCCATAGTTTCTGAGAGAAAGAAAGATAACGTTCTAAATAAAAAGTTAACCATTTGACACTTATAGAAAACGCATATATTAAAGAAACATACCTGACTTGAGTCACGAGCTGGTGGTAAAATTTCTTTATCCTTGCGAAAATTCAAAAATACACTTAGATCATCCGACCAACAGAATCTGCTTGACAATTACAAACACAAACCATCACATAATCAAATGTTCTCCACGGGTCCCTACTATTATATTTTAAATAGCAATACTGTTATATACGATATAAAGTATATCTACAATATAATGTATTTATATTTTTAGGCTACAGTTAGTATAATGCGAATACCATATAATTAGAATACCGTAACGTGACATGTTCACTAACCGATATAAGTAAAATAGCCAAGAATGGGGTGCCAACAGCATTAATATATATTTTTACGAACAGCATTAACATATGGCACAGCGCCAACGATACAAGATTTAAAACCAGAACCGAAATGGTGTGACGAATAAGTGTGTCACGCAATCACATTATGTATTCATTATTTGAAAAATATGCATTCGCTTCCACAATATTGAGCCGATATCGTCTGTTTTATTGAGTAAAAATAAAATGATTGGCTGTATTTGACTGATCAACTATGAACAGAGAGAGAGAGAGAGAGAGAGAGAGAGAGAGAGAGAGAAAGGTGTATAAAACTTAATTCTCTTTCTCCATATATATATATATATATATATATATATATATATATATATATATATATATATATATATATATATATATATATATATGTGTATGTATATATATATATATATATGTATGTATGTATATATATATATATATATATATATATATATATATATATATATATCTGTGTGTGCGCGTGCGTATATATGTGTAATAATGTTAAAATAAATTATTCTCAGCATTATTAGCATATTAAAAGCAGTGTAACATTCTTTTAAGCTTCAGATTTTTCGTTGCTATGTAAAATAGAACGTAAAAATATCCATACTAAAGAAAAATCATATTAAACAGTTTTCATTAGGCCCAATTCCGCCGTTATTTGTAAAATATCACATGTCAAATCATATGACTAGCACTAAATTTTGAATGATATTGGTCATAAACATCGATGTGTTCCATTAAATCCAGATCATTTCGACGTCTTGTTTAAACTTTTAAACTAAGAAACCCTGCAACTCAGCACATATGTAAGAATTAATCCAATGTCGATAGGTGGCATTCATGGAACACAAGATTTGATGACGTCATCATTGTAAACCTAGGAAGACAACACTATGCTATGTCACATTATCTTAAGTCGAAGTTTGCATTTCAGATTATGCAAAGCAACCCAGCTGATCACCAGTATTCACCCGCGTCTTAGTTTTCATTTAGTTGCGGGCTTTTTTCAAAGATCTATGATGGTACGTAGCGGACAAGAGCTGCTCCAATGAGAAAGTTGCAATTATAATTTCCATGTCTTATGTCAAGAAATCCAATATCACGTGTTGGATCAAATTGCATGTCCTTAAAGCTTCATTCTCAAGATCGAGAAATTAGATTGTATATGTTGAATTATACAGTGGTGCTTTAACGTTCTCTTTCCTATGTCGACGTTTTACAGTGTATATTTTGAATTACACGGCGGTGGTTGAAATTTCAATATCATATGTCAAGAACCTAATTCACACGCTGTATGCAACTGTATGTGATGAAAGTTCCATTGCATATGGCAAGCATTTAGATTTCATCTGTTGAATTTCACAGCAACCTCCTTGTTTAAAAATAACGAGGTCTGTTTACGAGAGTGACCTCGAGCGAAGAAATTCATAGTGGTTATCGACCTGTGAATGATAATTTTCAAACTGTAAATGCATTAAATGTAATAGAGCCTCATAACTGACTACACGAATGATATAGCATAATACTCGATATCATTATGAATTGTTAAAGTGGACATTGTGTAATGTTATATAAAAAAAACGGTTTGTTATCATATTCTTCACCACTTATTATGATACAAAAAGGTTTGGTTTCTCCACCACTCTATGTGAAAAAGAATTTTTCTCATAACTTAAGAAAAGGTGACACTCCTAACGGTGTCGATAAGTCAACATTCTTCGTGAGGATGAACGAGAGGTAACTTGAACGACTTAAGAAAAGGGAGATTTGATTCTTCAATGAACAAATTTTATTTAAATAATTGATAGATGTATAATGCTAGATTCTACAGAGACGTCTTATAAAACCTTTATATTTAGAATAAATGAAATACATACAAAATTATACTTTTCCTTAGAGCTTACCAACTTCCCACATTTGCATAATTTCTAAGGTGAATCATGTACTTCTCAAGATGTGGTTTTATATTTCTAATGCACGTACACATATAGAGACCTTTGCAAGCTAGTGACTTTCATCCAAGCAGTACGAGACAAGATGAATAGTTTCTATTTTCTCCTTCTATTGAAAGCTAAACATTAAAATAATTCAACAACAATGACTGATGAGTTAATCTAATGAATGTGCTTGATTATTCCAATATGCTTGTGTATGGCATATTTAAGTGATCTGTCTGCAACGTATTTTCACATAGATGGAGTTCATCGTTTTTAAACTTGAATGTAGAACTCAGATCTAATTAGTAATGGGGGACGTTTTTCAATGTCAAACACTTATTTCAGCTAATTTATTAAATTACCAGATTCTAGGATAATTGGCGAAAAAAGATGAATACATTAACGAAAACTAAATGGTATTTGTTTAGTTTACATTAGGATTTTTTAACGTAGCTTTAACAATTGTTCAGCTTATAGTGAAATCTGGCACTAGGACACCATGCCGCAGACATATAGCATCATGTCCCACCCAGTCACATTAACCTCACACCAGGCCGATCAGTCCTAACACTAACCTCATAATCCTGAACGCCAAGCGAGGCAGCTTAAGTACAATTTTTATTAGTCTTTGGTATGTCTTGGCCGGGGATGGAACCAACGACCTCCCGCATCCGAGGCGGACTATCTAACCACTAGACCATCGGAACGGTCATATTTTGTTTAGAATCTGTGTATTTTCATAGGAGTTTCAAGGAAGGTAAATAAAGCGCTAATGGTAAAGTACAGAACCGAACATTTTTATAATATTGAAATCTCTGGCCACATGTTGGCAGCATATAAGAACAACGTAATGCTTACACGTTATTACTAACCACTTGTTGTTTGGTACGTGAATAGTCTGATACAAATCGATATTAATCAAAATAGCTGTTAGGAATGCAAGTTACCACCTCGTCGCGTGGTCTTTCAAGGTCTTTGGATGTCATTCACGTGCAAAGGAAAAGCAAGCGTGCGCCTCGTCTATCTGTGCACTTACCACGTCTACAAGAAGCCTAAAATCCGCGACTCAGCAAGCGTCTATATCTTATATATCAGCCTTTCTTTCAAGCCTAGAAAAATCCTTGCATGTCTTTGGCACATTGATTTCCCTATCTTATGAATATGAAAAATGGCACGAACGTCTTACGCACCGTAGTAGTAAGCAACCAGTGTTCTTTTTCCTAAGCGTGTATAGTTTAAAGAACAGATCGATGAACCAATAAGTATATTATGAACTGAAATGGATCTTTCCAATTTCGTTTCAGTGAAATATTTAAATTTTCATATTCACGCGTGTTTCGTCACGTGGTATATTCGTTTCATGAATGAAATTAAAATGGCTTCAGCTGCGCAACATCCGATTTTTTTTTTTGCGGAAAATCCAAGGGCGCTACGACTGTATTACTAGTCATATGAGCACAAGTTGGCCATATCTCTAAAAGACCAGAAATAACCTTGTATGTGGTTGACAAAATACACCTATATTTTGGCGGAAGGCACCACATATACTGCAACAGATTAAGCTGACAATATTCCGATTGTGGCGTTGTCTCCTTCTGCCACGATATTGTGACGTGAAGAAAATTAGTTTAAGAATATACTTCTCAAAGGATGCGAATTACATCCGGGGTTTCGTCTCGACGATAAAGGCAGATGACGTTCTAATTTAATCGCACAGTGTCCTTCCGGAAGAATAAATGATCTGTACATTATGCCTTGAACATATTTTCTGGTAAGTGCCACGTGTTTTAAATCATACACGGTGAAACCAAAGTTCTTCGTCGGGGTCAACGACATTGTTTAAAGACGTGCTGATACTGGTTGTTGTTGTTGGGCTTAACGCCATTTTTCAGCACACGATAGGCTATTCATGGCGGCCAGTATTAATGGTGGGGGAAGAAACCGGGAAATCACCGGAAAGAACCACCGACCCTCGAGAAGCTACTGGCAAGCTTTCTCACATATCCACATTTGCCGAATCCTAGACTCGAACCCACGCAGACAGAGGTGAGATGGCAGTGATCCGTAACGGACAGCGCTTTAGACCACTTGGCCACTCTGGGCCCCGCTGATTCTGGCAGTAATTTTAAGCTTCTGATGACTACAAAAAATACAAGTTATGGACTTTTATAAACTGTAGTGTACGAAAACACAGCTTTTCATTGATGCCGATTATATGAAGGTAAAGAAGAAACTTTGGGGAAAAAAAGCTTTCTTGGTACGGTAAGTTCAAAGATTGTGAAGTTGATCAAATGAACAGCATGACAATAAAATCAGGTTTAAATTAATGACGACTCCAATAGAGATAGCTCCAAAGTATGGTCATATTATATTTAACATCATAGATATGAAGGGATCCCTTATAGCCGAGTGGTCTTAGGGCTACTTGTTATATACACCGTAATCTCAGCTCTGTCCGCATTGGTTCCAGCCTCGGGCTCAGCCAACATGGGTAAGTGAAAAGCTTGCCGGTTTTCCCCTTGTGTCGGTCGTTCTTCCAGAAGTTTTCAACCAATTACACCGGTTGTCATGCATAAACAATAATGTGCTGCAAAATGGCGTAAAACCCGCAAAACCACAAGCCCAAATTTCAACTACGAAACACCCACCATATATAAAGAATAGCAAAACAACGTAAGGATGGTGAACATTTTATTTGAAATTGTTTCATATGAAAATGATGTAACCTATAAATGACTTAATTTATAGGCTTCTATAACAAAAACAGTTGGAAAGAGAATAAAGCAGATGTACATAGAACTGTGTAAATGCAAAAAATATCATAAACAGTGATTTTATGAAATATAATTACACCATCTTTGGAGTACATAAAAACAAACTATATCAAATAGTTTTAATAGAGGGAATTATTAAACAAGTTATCTTCCTGAAGAAGCACAAATTACATTTGTATACAAAATATGGAATTATACACGAAATGGTTCTTTTGACATATGAACAATTACACTTGTGTTCTGAAGACAGCTGATATAGCTATGACCTTATCCAGTTTAATAAAATTCATCACTGTTCAAATCACAGACAATGGATGGGCAAAAAATAGCTTTACACCTGCGACGACGCGCTTTCAAACCTGGGATCTGGCAGTCATCACATATTGCATTGGCAAACCAGTCTCAACTTGTTCTAATAATTATTCCAAGCTGAAAGATAAAACCCAGAGCTTCCCACACATTGCAAAATGTATCTATATAGATATATTATGCACATTTGTGTGCATTTCTTGTCAGGATCTTCAATTTAGTCTCATATCTTACAAAAATAAAGAACCTTAAAGAATAATGGTGATGATCAGCAATATATACCAATATTTTCATTCTCAATGTATAAAGCTGATCATTTAAATAAAAAATAGACGAATATTAAAGCAAAACGAAGCGATCATGACAAAGAAATTTACTGAACGCAGATGTTTAGAAAATTCAGTATTTACCCAAGTTTGCTTTTGCCACCTTTGCAAGAAATAAATTTTCAATTTGTTTTATATGGCCAATTTTTCCAGATGCACAGGATATCACCATATTTGTATCTTCACCCGTAAAAACAGAAATGGTCGTTGCCTGATATGTTATTTGGTCCATTTAGGTTATGCAACGATATAACAGTGGTTGAAATTGACTTTTTTGATAGTTATTTGAAAGTTTTGATTTAATTTAAATTTGATTTTATTATGTGCGAAAATGTGCACACTTTAGCATAACCATCGTGTATATTGATACAATTTGGAGTTTACCAAATAAAATCATTTTTATGGACATAGATCTGTTTAGTACTCTGGGTGAATTGCACAAATTAGACAATCTGACTAGTTCCTCATTATGTCCATAATTCGGGTACATATCTATGACTTGTTGTACAGTATAACATACCCATTCAATGCGACTTCTAACAGTTTTACATTTAATCAACAGCAACAGTGAATTAATAGAACAGTGTATCGGCAATGAACTGCACACTTTGTGATATCATAACCATATATCTATCATGGCGAATTTTCATATCACAGACTCGAGTCGCAAATGCTTGAAATTAATCTCACATCTTTAAAACGGCTCACTGGATACAAATAAAATGTCGGTATTTATATACATTTACTTAGAATATTCATTCAAAAAGGCACATACAAAACTAGGAAGTTGTTCTTTTAGTTATTTATTTTACTTTAGTCCAAATGACATTAAGAATAATGAACCCTTAATATATTTACATTTAAAGTACAGTTATGGGATATAGTATTCTGCCAGTTATGGTCATAACAATTTGGTGACGTTTCTCAGTATAAGGAAATGTTGGACAATAAAGATGAAAATAATTAAAACAAAAAAAAATAATTTTACAAAAATGTTTAAAAGACCAAAATAAAAAACCCAAAACATAATATAGCTTGCAATAAACGACCATCAGCTTGTGAGCCTGACTTTCCAACCACCAATAAAGTATATATTCAAGTCAACTTAAAAATGATTACTAAAGTCCAGGGAAAACAGACTGAACACATATTCATCCATCCACTGACCCGACTTGAGATTGAGGTCCAATGATATTTTCAGAACATATTTTTCTCCATTTTCCTTCACTCATGACAATTAAAACAGAAAATAAAACATTATTTTTTGTAACCATAGAGCTCAATGAATGTATAGAACCTATCTTCTATTTTGACACAAACGCTGCATTAACTGACACACTATCGATTCATGTTTAATCTTTGTATATAACCAATGTTCTACCATGACCAAAATGATAAATTAGATGACCCAAACTTGACCACCTCCCTCAAAATCAAGAAAGAGATTCCGACTGACGTAGTGGTGCCTTTCGAAGGTTGTACCCTTTCTTTATTTCATCCAGCAAGCGATCTATGATGCATCCATCCTCATCCTTTGGTGGAAGGGAGTGTGATTCTGAAAATGAAATGAGCAAAGTTTTACTGTAGCAGAACACTGTCAATATCATTCACTGCATATTGTAACTGGTTAAATTATAAACGCAGGAGGGTGAGGATACATCATAGGAACCCAAATTAATTAAGGATACAAGAAAAAAAAATTACATAGGTTTAGCCTCGTCATAAGTTTTTTAAAAACAATATATCCTCCACTGCTGTTTATTTTTAATTTAATGATTTTGATGATTTCCCCTAGCATTATCGTACATCCAGCGCTGCCGCTTGTTTCCTTGAAGGTAAAATTGTCCAATTACAGGCCCTCTGGCCAAATGTGGGCCTCGCTGATATATATATATATATATATATATATATATATATATATATATATATATATATATATATATATATATATATATATATATATATATATATATATAATAAATGGTCTGCAAACGATACAATTTCTGTCCTTGAGGCAAAAGTGTTGAAGATGCTGGACCTCCACCGACTAAGGTTTTGAAAAAAAAAATACGCAAGCAACATTAATGCCATTTACTCTTCTGGCCATAATATCCCTTTCGTGCTACATTGATTATTGGGTTCTGTACCGGAAACCCATTTGGCCTACTTAGAACTGATTAACCCGATCCGAAACACGAACAAGCAAACACTCAAATGTTTTAAATAACGCTTTGTATAGCTGAAATATAACACCAATAATTTCATCTGATGGAGTACTGGCTGTTTTTCTTCTTTTAA